TGGCTGCCGGCTCCAGGCGGGTGAAGCGCAGGGGGTTGCTCTCCTCTTTAATTTGTTTCCTCCCCAGCTTCCACGCTGGAAACTCGCTAGCGTCCGATGGTCTCCCAGACCCTCTCCCACTCACTGGGGCAGATCAAAGGCAGTAACCCTTCAGCTGCTGCCAGGCTGCTGCTCCCACCATGAAAATGCATGACAGGTCCTGCTCACGGCCCGGCCGCTTCCCCCAGCAGCTCCGCTCCACTGGCGCTAGGACCCGCCACTGGATGCACCCACCGCGGCCTGGGCAGCACCAGCATTTTGGGCTGGGATAGGTGCTCATCAGATCCCAGCCTCGCCTTGCTGGTGCTGTGCTGCAGGAGGCTGTGCCAGGGTGCAGCTTGCATTTCTCCAAACCAAAGGGCCTGCCAGCAAGGACCACGGCACCAGCAGCTATTAAGCAGCCCAGTGTCCCTTGGGTCACCCCACACATGCTGTTTGTACCAGCACAGCCTGCTCAGGGCAGAGGGTCAGGCAGAGCCGGGGCTGCCCCGCCGACACGGCTGTTCACTCCACCACCACCACCGTCTGACAGGTGACAAGAGCGAGTGTGAAGGAACAGAAAGACTCCCGCATTACGCAAGATCGATAGACTAATCAGTGCTCGCATTAGTGGCCGACAGTCCAGAGTCCCCCCCCATGGGTTTTGTACTGCCATTTCTTGCTGCAGGGGAGGACCAGCTGCACCCACCACTTGTGTCAGCGTCAGCACCCGCAGCCCTGCGCTGGGGGAAACAAGTGTCACCCACGTGTCCCAGCGCACGATCGACAGGAGGTGATGGACATGAGTCCCCAGTGCTGCAAGGACCCAGCACCCAAGGAGGGGCGTCCCGGAGGAGAGTTGCTTGCTGGAGGTTGGGGGCAGCTGCCCCGCTGCTGCATTAGCAGGGTGCCAGGGTAATGAGGCAGGGTTTTGTCCACCGTGTCACCTGCCCCGGTCCCCAGCGCCAGCGTGAGCGGGGCCCTGCAGCCCTGTCTCAGGTTCAGGCTCCCGCAGCGTGCCCCCGGCATTACGTCAGGCTGTTTGATTTTTAATGGACTCCGCTGGCCCAGTTGCCGGCACCACTCCATCCCGGTCGAGGGGGACGAGACAGACCTCCCACCCTCTCCACCCCTGCCTCACTCCGGATCCCCAAGGTCACAGGGAGCC